TAAATTCTGAACATTATGAAATTAAAGCCCTAAATTTCTAAAAAAAAGATCTAAATCAAACTCGATTTAAATTATATATTCTAACGTTAAATCGAAGTATCTGTAGGCTAAGAATGGTAATTCATAGTGATTTGATTTTATTTTCAAGATCTTCTTAAATCTGATCATAAGTGATCTTGCCAATGAAAAGACTGTACAGTCGTACGAGTCTCGAGATGGTATTCGTAAGATTAGATTATGATGTACCGGCTGCCTAAAATTATCAATTTTTAAGATATGATCGATGTAATTATATAAACATAATTATCTGATAGATCGTATATACATGCATGTGGTGTATCCTGTAAAGTATAAAAGGAACGGCGAAGCAGATTAGTGGCGGCTGGTGATGAAAGTAAATTCAAACCGCAAATATCAAATGAAGATGATATGAATATATCGAATTTAATCTTAATTCTCATTTTAAGATATTTAAAATTCACGTCATTCAGATTTCGTGTTATATATAAAATAACAAATAAAATTCTATCGTGTTATTAAAAAATATTTTACACGTCGGTATTCTTCAAATGCGATTCTCGTTATGCTTGAATAATGAAATTATAAATAAAATTCCATTCTGAATTTTGAAACAAATTATATTACATAGATCATCAAAAGTGAGCTTCATTCATTTTATTGGGAGTACAAATTAGTTCGGTCCGTTTTTTTGTGTTCAAAAATGCATTTATTTCAAAACAAAATGAATGAACAGATCAATTAAAGTAGTCTATCGCTGCCTACTACTTTTTCCCATCTCTCAGGCAATTTTCGAATTCCATCTCGAAAAAATGACTCGTCTTTGAAGGCGATCCAATTTTGGAGCCAATTTTCGATTTCTGCGAAAGAAGTGAACCGGTGACTTGTCAAATAGTGCTGCATCCTTCGGAACAACCAGTAATCAGAAGGAGTAATGTCCGGAAAATACGGCAGGTGCGGTAAAACATTCCATTTGAGTATTTCCAAATATTTTTTTACGACTTTAGCGACATGAGACCGAGCGTTGTCATGAAGAAGAATAACTTTATCATGTCTTTGCTCGTATTCCGGTCGTTTTTTTCGTAATGCACGGCTCAAATGAATCAATATATAGCCGCTACCGATCGCCCGTAATGGAATCGCCAGGTTTCAGCAGCTCATAGTAAACAAGACCCTTTTAGTTCCACCAGATACAGAGCATGATCTTCGAACCATGAATGTTCGGCCGTGATGTTGATATTGATGACAACGATTGACTGGGCTTAGCGTAGTAGTTTTTTCTTCTTGGGGTTGTCGTAGAATATCCATTTCTCATCTCCAGTCACAATCCGATGCAAAAAACCTTTTCTCTGTTGTTTTTGAATCAGCTGTTCGCAAGTGAAAAATCTTTTCAACGTCTCTCGGTTTCAGTTAAAACACCCAATTTCCTTGTTTTTGAATCATTCCCATGGCTCTCAATCGCAGAAACGGCTTGTTGAATTACCCCCAATGATTCTGCAAGCTCCTTTTGCGTTTGACTCTGATCTTCGAGTAATGCCTCTAATTCTTTGTCTTCGAATTTTTTTCCACAGCGAGGCTTGTCTTCAACGCTGAAATCTCCATCCTTGAAATGTCAAAACTATTCCCTACATGATTTATCAGTTAGAGCAGTGTCATCATAAAACTTCGACAAGCATTCGATGAGCTTCAGCCGCACTTTTCTTCCAATTAAAGCAGAAAATCAAAACTTCCCGCAAATGCTGCTTGGTTAACACAAAATTCGACATTTCAAACACAGTAAAAATCAAGGTTTTTGTATAAAACTCAAAGCGAATATAAACTGAATATTATTAGCAGATGTTTAATCTCTCTGAAACCGCTAAAATCAGCTGTCACTATGACCTATTCACAACAGCTGGAGCCATCTTTACGGACCGAACTAATTTGTACTCCCAATAATTCAATTATTAAGAGGATATAAAAATGATTATTTTACTGATTAAGTACTTAGTTAGTAACTTACATACAGATGATTTACGTGTCATTGACATATAAATATCTGATTGGATACGGTTTGATTGGATACAAGTCATAACGAATATTTTTTTGAGGTGATAAATTTTTGTAAAACGTTAGCATTATGTCTAAGTCCAATTCTAAGAACTTCATGTTGTTCCTTGCAAACTATCAGTCTGTGGATTATACTATATTTCGTAAATACAAATTGCATAGTTTTTATATATTAAGCAAATGTCACGACGTGACAACGCTAAAGCGTAACATTGGACTAAGAAATGAAAATCTCAATCAAAATTTGTTATCGTTTTCAATATAAACTCCACCTTACAGCCACATATTAATGCATATATTTTAATCTTGGAAAACGATTTTCGAATTTGTAAAAGAGGAAAAAGTAATTGTTATATAAAAATTAAGCATTACCCTGGTAAAAATTTTTCTCATAATTTTTATACGAATTGGAACATTTTTCAGAAATACTCAGAAATATTCGGAAAGTTTATCTTCTCTCAGAACTTCTCATACAAGTGAATTCTGAAATATTCTGAAATTTCTCTTCCTATAATTTTTAAAAAGTATTTTAAAATTTTTTAGATTTTGTAACATTTCATCCAAAATTATACACAAAATCAACAAAAAATCTTACGATATTTCATAATTAACATGTATGAAAAATTCTGAGAAAAGATATAGATTTTCTGAGAAATGTTCCAATTCGTATAAAAAATGTGAGAAAGTTATAAAATTATAAAGAAAAAATTCTAAAAAAAATTCTAAAAAATTCTAAAAAATTATACAGAAAAATTCTGAGAAAAATTTTCACCAGGATAATTACAGATGTCTTTAGGATTCCCTTAAATTGCTTATTTCATTCACTGCAATATAGAATGTATTTTTACTTTTTTTCTTTCTTACGTAAAAGATTTTTCTATGCGTAATAATTAATATCTTCAACGTATAGCAAACTGTTATTAACATCACATGTAAGCTATAAAGATTAATTTGTAGGCACATTCGACGTATTCGAAATATATTCGAATTTGTAAAAGAGGAAAAAGTAATTGTTATATAAAAATTAAGCATTACCCTGGTAAAAATTTTTCTCATAATTTTATACGAATTGGAACATTTTTCAGAAATACTCAGAAATATTCGGAAAGTTTACATCTTCTCTCAGAACTTCTCATAAAAGTGAATTCTGAAATATTCTGAAATTTCTCTTCCTATAATTTTTAAAAAGTATTTTTAAATTTTTTAAATTTTGTAACATTTCATCCAAAATTATATACAAAATCAACAAAAAAATCTTATGATATTTCATAATTAACATGTATGAAAAATTCTGAGAAAAGATATAGATTTTCTGAGAAATGTTCCAATTCATATAAAAAATGTGAGAAAGTTATAAAATTATAAAAAAAAAATTCTAAAAAATTCTAAAAAATTATACAGAAAAATTCTGAGAAAAATTTTCACCAGGATAATTACAGATGTCTTTAGGATTCCCTTAAATTGCTTATTTCATTCACTGCAATATAGAATGTATTTTTACTTTTTTTCTTTCTTACGTAAAAGATTTTTCTATGCGTAATAATTAATATCTTCAACGTATAGCAAACTGTTATTAACATCACATGTAAACTATAAAGATTAATTTGTAGGCATATTCGACGTATTCGAAATATATTCGAAAAGTTTGAAATATGAAATAAAATGAAACGTATTAAACAAAACTTTCTAATAATTAATTTTTATCTTTTGACCCTATGTGAACTTAAGTTTTATAATTTTATGCATTATTAGATAGTACAAAAAAGTTGTTCGATTTCGGCAGGATAAATATGGATATACTTCACCTTTCTGTATGGGAGATTTATGCAATTAATCACGAGGTTCCAATTTCGAAACGTGATATTTTTATCGGATCATACATTCCTTGCACTTCTGTAGAAGCATATGAAAAGACATAGATAAAATATGATAGAACTGATATATTAACAGATATACCCAGACAATGCTCTAAAAAATATATCATAAAGACATCTTTTTCTAAAGACGTCTTTTGAAACATGTCTAAAAAATATCTATAAATCAATAACATAAAAATATCTTTTAGACAATGCGTGTTCTGGGTAATATATAAATATTAAAATAAATTGTTATTTTATTAGATGCGCATCAGTTGTTAAAAGGATGTACTGAAAAAAATTCATTTTTTGCACATTTTTCCCATTGCAACATATTTATCTCTCATAAGAAAAGCTGAATCAATGAAGAACCTTTCAAATTTCTTTGAATACTTACTTTTTTGCAAAAAATCAATTTCATATCAAATTATCAAGTGTGATATCGACATTTATTAAACAGTTTATTAGACATAAACATTTCCATTACGAGATTGAATTTTTATAGTTATTTATATTTTTATAGTTATTAATATTTATGCATTAAAATGTTTCTTTTACAATCATTTTGCATTCAAAATCAGCAACAAGAAATTATACACAGATAATTTAATTATAATTCTACTCCATTGTTTGTTTTTTTTTGTTTCCGCGAAAGAGAAAAATCTTCTTTACCCTACCGTTTAAATTCCAAAGAATATAACTGGATGGTCAAAAGACGCCGGAATTCCTCGGATGTGCGGAATTCGATGCCGTTGTATCGCCGCATCGATGCCAACAATATCGCCTATCCAAAAAAACTTACTACCCTTAAAAAACTTCCCCATAACCTCCTTTTTAAGCTTTATGAAGAAATCGCATTTCTTTGGAGCGTCTCTCATATAGTGACTCGCTACAATGTCCTACATCATTGCTCGGGTTATCTCATCGCATATTTGGGGCGAAAACGCTGCCTCAGTCCGTTCAATTGTTGGTTTAGAATTGGTTAATGATAATTATTCAATATGAATAATAAAAAAAAATAAACTTTTATTCAATAAATATATAAAAAAATTATTTACAATGCTTATAATTAATAAATTACTCAACATATTTCTCCATAAATTTACAATGGCCTTCGCTTTGTAGAGAATCATTAATAAAAACATCATGTTTCTTCTTTAGTTCGGAACGTGCACAATTTTTAAAGACGGCATCGTCCCATCTTCTTAATATTTTCATATCTACTCTTCCATTCTGTGAAGAATAATTCAACAAAGGATTTCCTGAATATATATTTCCCATACATATTTTTTTCTCTTCCTGTCGTTTCTTCATTTTTTGCAAAATAATAAATAGAAAATAAATATAAATATAAAATAATAAATATAAGGTAAATATAAGATAATATTTTATTTTTTAGACACGAAAGATATATGAGGGAAACAAAAAGACAATAAGTCAAATTTGAAAGTATTCTAACTCTCTAAAAGAATCCTTTCAAAAAAAAAAAAAATGCCAAGCGCATAAAAAGGTATCGAATTACATTCTTCTTAAAGAGGTCGAGTGGTTTGGAGAGTAAAAAAGAAATCGATTTTTTCTATTTCATTTTCGGAAAGTTGATTGTCTTGAAAATATGTTGCCAACTATTCATACAAATAACGTAAAATAACAGAGTAATTCACGGCTAACTGAAATGTGAACAGGCGCGTTTGACTTTCGATCTCCCGCAGCGTGCCGTACGGTTGTTACTTCTTCGAACAAAAAAACATCTGTCGTATTTCTGTTCTTTTCTACATTTCTGTTTAAACAAAAGGATGAATTGTGGCCCAGGAATCGCCGAATAAGAAAAATGTATTGTAAGTAAATTAAAAAAACATAAGTATTCTAATTCAAAACTAAACGCATTTTTCTCGAAATGTGTTTTTTCAAATTTGCTGACATTGTAGAGAGAAAATGGTTTAATGCACTGATCGCTGCTTTTTACACATTTATATTAATTATTTTCTCCATATGGTTAAACCTAAAAAAATAATAAATTTTTTAAAATAAATAGTAAATATTTAATGGGAAAAATAATTGTCAAAAAAGGATCATTTTTTTTTATAAAGAACTAATTTTAACAAAATGTGATTTTTAATAATTTTGTTAGATTTATCGTATACATTCTACATTATAAATTACAAATCAATTTGATTTTTTTTTATTTCATACGACTAATTCTGGCTGCACAATGTCAGCAATTTAACAAAATCTCAAGTAGACACGTTTGCCGCCATTATTGCCTCTTGGACATTTCAATGCATTTTAATTAAAAATTCATATTTATTGTATAAAGTATAAATAAAATATTGATCCAAAAATACAATATAGATCCTAAAATAACTGTAACTATTTTTTCACAAAAAATTTACAAAAAATCGTTGATTTTTTTTAACTCTCCAAACCATTTGGCCTCCTTAATAAAAAAACGAATACAAAATAAATGCAATTAGCCAAGTATTTCATTACACAAGACACATAAGATGGACCGAAAATAACTAAAGTGGTCAACTAACTTATAATAAAGAACAAACTTATCGTGTACGGGTCACATTAAAACATAATATTTCCAATATGTTTTTATATTAAATTATTTGTAATACGAATTAAAAAAGGTTATATCTTTCACAGATATGTACAATGAAAGAAAATTTAATTGAAAGTTTGTCGATATCAAAACTCCGAATAATTAGTAATAACATCGCGAACTTAGCAGCGGTGAATATATATGCAGACAAAGCGTTAATCGACTTTTTATATATTTTTATACAATTGATGTTGCGATGCTACTGTATCGCTTGATCATTAATGCTGTATCCTAACTTTTTTAACTTGTTTTACTGCTTGTTCTTTCTTGATCCTCCGAAGTTCAGCCAAAATCGCAGCAGTATCATCTTCATCAGAATCTGATTCTTCATTACTATCAGAATCTTGATTCTGATCTCGTGATTCTTCATCCTCAAATGGATCAATTGCATCGAAGCTAGCGGCAGGAACTTGATGTAACTTTTGTCTTTTTATACTAAATACAGTTGATTTCCTGAATGGTTGAATGGCTTGATCTTTTACCCTTGTCAATCCGCTCTCTTTCTTCCAATTCCTTTCTGAAGTCTCGATTTCGCAATTCCTCAATTGTTCCTTGACCATGTTCTCTGTAGAGAAATAATAAAATTAGTATTAAGAGAAATTCATCATGAACAATTTTTTTTCTTGAAAATCTTATATTTCTCGTGTATTTGATACAATATTTTATCATGTTTCTTGTTAGATTATCATAAATATACAATAACAAAATTTACTATGAAAAATAATTAATTTTTGAAAAATTTGTGATTATCAAGTGAATCTTAGAGCCTGATATAAATGAAAGGTACAAACAATATTAACTTTTTAATCAATGATATAAATACCTTAACAATTAACTTATAATACTGACATACTAAATTCATTTTTTTATTATTATGCAAATGTTTT